ATACAGGTTAAAAAATTTCATATTAAAAATAAAAATCATCTCATTCTAGCAGCTCACCCACGGGTTCCTTGATCTTACCAATTCTCCCATTTCACCGACTTTTCTTTCATTAGCTATAGGTAAAAAAAACAGATGGAACATTATTCTTGGACGAAAATCTTTTGATTTCAAATAAAATTTATTTGATTCATACGAAACCCTTGATTGTCCTTGAGAGAAAAGAGGAACGATTTTGGAACTGAGAATCGACCGGGGAGAGGACAAGGGATTTTGGAAGGAAGGATCAGAAGAAGGGTTTACCATTACGGAAGTCTAGGACCCATTATAGCCCAATGGTGGAAACGGTGCCGTTTCATTAAAGCTAGCCTGACATTTTTTGGCCAGGAAGGCCTGATGTTCTGTTTGCACATTTATCTTTTAAAAGAAGAAAAAAATTATTATTAAAAAAATATATTAGTAAAATAAGAGATAGAGAAAAATTAAGATATTTTAATAATTAAAATGGTAAAAATAATAAAGAAAAAAAATTAAAATATCTTTAATGAATTAATAAATATAAAAATATTCATTAAGGGTATTTGAATAGTTTCACATGAAGTCTTAATATTTAAAGTATTATAATATTTCAATTTTTATTTTTTTAATGAAATAAAATATATAAAAAATATGATATTAAATAAATAATTTATAAATATTTTAATAAATTTAAGAGATCTTTTAATACTCTCTAATTAAAATTTATAAAATTAAGATTACTTTTACCAATTTTAATTTATTTAATTTAAAATATAATTCTAAGGTCAAACTAATTTTTTTTCACACAAATATATAAAGTGAAAAAAAAAAACTTAAAATAGCTTCATATAGAAAAAAGGTAAAAAAAATCATTCAAATAAAAAAAGATACAAAGGAAATTGCATTTATAAAATAGATAAAAAATTTTATAAAATATAATATCAATAGTAATTATTCAACTTAAAATTTTTATCATCAAAATGTCTGCAAAGATAAATGTATGTATAAATTTCTTACAAAATCAAACTCATTTTCAAAGAGAAAAAAAAAAATTAAGAGGGTATGGTTAAAATAAAAATATTAGTTTAGTTCTCAATTTTTAAATTTATATTAAAATTCACCCTTAAACATTAAAATATATTAAAGTTATCCTTAATTTTTTTTTATATCAACTTTTAAATTTGAAAAAATTGACAAGTGGCATGTTAAGTTGGTAGATCATCACACTTTTTTTTTTTTGTGAAAATATAGTGACATGGGAAAAAAATATCATGCATAAGGTGTCGAGCGGCACGTTTTTCTCTTTAGATGGCATTTGTTACTTCCAACAAATGAATTAGATCTTATTCATAATTAATTAATTAAATTATAAAAATTATTATAACTGAAATTTCAAAAATAACCTTCTTCTTTCTCATTCCTCCTATTTTTCCTCTCTCCTCCCTTCTCCCTCTGCATCATCCCCCCTTCGTTTCTTCCCATACCTCTTCCCCTTCCACTTCCCCAAATTCATCAATTTTAGATCTAACAGTTTTTCTTCTCTTCCTTCAACAACAACAGATTTTTTGGTGGTCCAACAAATTGATTGATAAATCTAAAAACCAAAGATTGAAAAGCAAATTTGCAAGTACTCAGTCATATACCCAAATCCGCAAGAATTGAACCCAGAAGACGAGCATTTGTAAGAGACAAACCGATGACTCGAGAATAAACATCTGTTGTTCCCATCGCCGCACAGTTCACCCCATTCAACGAACACAGTGTCTCTTCCAGAAATTCCATCTTTCTAGCATGGACAAAGAATCCGCAATTTGACAGCCTAGTATTTCAAAATTTAGGTTCCAATCCTCCTTGTTCAATCGAACCAGATTTAGGAGAATGAGAACCATATTGGGTTCTTCTAGAGAAACTGAATTCGGGTATCAAAAAAGAGAGAAAAAAGAAGAGAAGGACGGAGGTCGGGGAGAGGGGGAGAGGAGGAGATGAAGGGGCAGAGAGTTAGGGAAAGGGAAGAAGATCGAAGAAGAACCAAAAGAATCGTTTCATCTTTTTTGTTTTTCTAATTGTGTTGAAATTTAGTTTATTATATATATATTTTGAAAATAGGCCGTTAATAGTTTCTTATAATTTGATTTGTTTTAATAAAATTAAGTGAAAGTTAATTTTTTTTTAACATTGAAAAATTATTTTAGAGGAGAGAGAGTAAATCTTGAGTTAAAAACTTAAAATCCAGAATGTGATATCCTAATTCAGGTATTTGTAAGTGGTCACTACAGGTATTTGTAAGTGGTCATTAGGCCACCACGACAAATGAAAGTTAATTAAATCTTTCATAAATTAAAAATTAATTATAAAAAGTAGATGAATTAAATAGTTGAAATATATTAATTGTTTTAATTTTTAAATATAAAAAAAATAAAATTTAAAGTGAAAGTAAATTTTTTACATAATTTAAAATTTAAAAAATTTCACATAATCATTTATACATTGTGAATCGTTACCTTAATATTTAAAATTTAAAATAATCAATTACTTAATGGAAAAATTGGTCACATCACTACTTAACTAACGATATGCTGAAATTAGCACTAAAAATTGAGGTTGAAAGATATTTTTGATATTTTTTAAAGTTTAAAAACAAATTTGATACAAATTTAAAAATTGAGGGATGCAATTGATATTTTAACCTATAGTTAACCCTGCCTTCTATATTACTCATGACTCACTACCTTAGCTCCGCGGCTCTTGGTTGCTAATAGCTGTGGGTATTGGTACACTATCAGGTCGTATCAGATTAGTTTTGTATTGTATCAATTATATTTGATTTTTGGATTTTGTATTGTGTATTGACTTAAATATGCTTATTGGGTACATTATTTGAAGAATTAGTATTTGGTATTTTTAAACTTATTTTTAAATTTTATTTTTTCAGTTTTAATATAACTTTTCATCAACACATTACATTATTATTGTGAGTTTATATTTTTAAATTTCAAATAATGATGTGGAAAAAAAAACCATGGGTGCAAGGAAAATTTGGCAATTTTCCGTGTTTTATGTTTGATATGGCAAGGCAATGAGAATGGTGTTGAAGTTAAGTATAAGGCAATTAAAATTTTAAGGATCATTTTGATATTTTTGAAAGTTTAAGGACCAAATTGATATAAACTCCAAAATTTAAGGACTATTTTAGACCTTTAACCTATTTTAAGCCTAACCCGAAGATAAGATTGAACGAGAAGAGCCACCGGAGGTGAAGACACAAGGCAGAGGAGGCGAGGGGGAAGAATATAATTATTTTAGTTTATTTAAGATTTATTTAATGTAATCAAGCAAAAATTATTTATGTACAAAATTTAAAGGTTTTTCTAATTTTTATTTTAAAAATATAGATTAAGAATATAATAAAT